GGAACGTGGGTACAGTGCCTTTGGTCAGAATTTAGCCTGAGGTAGTAAGAGCCTTTCTGAGTACCAACACCATTCTTTCAAGTTTTTAGTTAACTCTCAGAGTCTGATGGGGCTATATGGGAAAATTGAGAAAATTCATATGAAAAAGCTTTAGAAATAGCAATGAACTATATATGCAAATGCTAGATGGTGAAATATGAGGCAGCCCTTTGGCCTAAATTATTTTTCCTCAAAAATTTTAGTTATCTCTCTTGGGATTTTTTTTTTTTTCTTTTTTTACTGGAGCCACCTCATCTGTTTTATGGTAGAAGTTCTTTTCAAAAGCAGAGATTAACTTTTGGAGAATGTTTTATGAACACACTTCTCTCTTCCAAATTAAGACATGCCATTTTCCTGAGAAAACTTGGGTTTTACAACGTTAGTGTGCTAAAGCTGGGCAGTATTTTCGGGGGTGTACTTGAGAGTTCCAAGAGTAAGGCACTCAACGAATCAACATTGTGGCAGGCCAAATCTGAAAATTCTAGTCTCTTTCGGTCACCTGGGGCTTTTTTCTCTAGATAAGTGATTCAGACTTTGTTAGTAGGGTGGGGCGAGTAATACTGCTGCCTTCTCTTTTCACCACGTTGTGTGAAAGTAATAAAAGAAGAGTATATGTCCCTTGCAGAGGGACAAGGCTAAATACAAACCATAAAGTATCACCATTCTTCTGCTTGTCTGCTATTTCAAATTCGGCCTCCATAGTCAGCAATCTGGCATCATTTGCCAGAATTAAGTGTATTCCATTTGTAGTCCAAGTTAGAATTCCCTTTACAGTGCGCTTTCATGCTTAAGAGCTATTTGTCAGCTGTTATTTAAAGAACAAGTGAATTTGTCAGTATTCAGTAAACACAAAATCCCAGAGACATGGAAGTTTGGATGTATAGTTGTTACCCTTCTAGATGAAATGTAAGAGCTAGAGAAGAGGACTGTGTAAAACTAGCAAACCAGTCACATGCAAGGTAATCACTTTTTTATGGATTTATCATAGGTTAATTGATTTTCGTTTTTGTAAAGACCCCAATTTCAATTCTTGTCATAATTGGCAATGCCCCGGAGTCAGTGAGAGCTAAATAACTCAGTTGTTTCCTGAGTCACATCCAATTCCTTTTTAAAAATTGCACGGTACTGACACTCATCTAGGCGACGATATCCCCAGTGAAGTGCTTTACGTCCGTCACGGTTCTAATTTCAGTGTTCTTGAGTGTTTGCCATCTGAAGCGCTAGGCTTAGGAGAGAAGCTTACCGGGCAAAATAACGCATATTTTTTAATCTTCCCCAGAAAATCAGAGAGTTTTAGTTGGGAAGAAGCTAACAGAAAACCTATTTTAACGTGATCTTGTGTTTGTGTGTGACTTAGAGAAGCAACTAGAAAATGCTTTTTTTTGTCCTTTCTTTACATATAATTGATTTGTTTCTGATCACAAAGTACAGGGAAGTACCTGTAACCCCTCGGTTCCATGCCTTCCTAGTCTACGCATTTATAAATACCCTGTGTACAACACCAGGATCACACTGTGTACACAACATTTTGTAACACTCTTACAGCTGCAGAGTATAATATATAACCACGTGGAATGTTTTCAACAAATGCCCCATTTACAATTTACGGATCCCTGCAATTAGCTTTCTAGGTCACTTTTGTAAAATTATTGAAACCAGTTGTTCCCACTATCCATTTTTGTAGACTTCTCACATGAACAGCAGGTAGGTCATAAACAAGTTATTCCTGCACAGCAGTTAGTAGTTGTAAACTCTTTAAAGAAAGGTCTTTCTGAACGAGGAGCAGTGGTCATAAACGCAGAACCTGACTAAGGCCCTTTTTATACACCCCCAGCCTTCCAAGCCCCAGGCTGCCTGTGGAACCTGGACATAGGATGCCACCCTCTGGCCCCGTACATCCCAGGACAGCGATGGAGAAAGGGCTGACAGGCCTAAGGAAGCATTAACAGTCTTTACTGGGCCCAGACTAGGAGTCCATGGGTCTTGAGGACCTCTGTGTGTTTGTTGATCATCTTCTCCATGTTCTTCTTGACCTGTTTCTGCAGCTGCATGACCTACTTCTTGTAATGGATCTTGGCCTTTTTCTTCCTCTTCTCCAGGGTGTGGTCACTGCCTGGTACTTCCAGCCAACCTTATGAGCCAGACACACCAGGTAGATAAACTTACAAGTGGGCTTCAGATTCACAACCTCGAGGGCAGCAGGAACCACCATCTGCTTTATCTTATCAAAAGGGGGATTCCACTGAACACCTTGAGGTGATCCAGGGTGGTCTGGTCATATTTGGCCTTGTGGGGCAGCGCTCATCGCATGGTCAGCCAAAAGATGTGGCTCAGCACCCAGAAGTGGGAAGGGCCAGTGGGGCAAGTTGGTGTTCGTGCACTTGAGGAGGAAGGCCAGGTACTTCAACTTATTTCTGTGAAAGTTGCCAGAAATGTTGATGCCCTCACAGTGCACGACCACCGCCTTCCATCCCAGAGTCCTTGCTTGACCACACGGCTGCCAGGCGGCCCAGGAAATGGCCTTGCCCTTGAGCTTCAGGACCTGCCCCTTCACCATCTTTGGCAGCCTACTGGGGAAAACGTGAACATGTTGTTTTAAGTGGCAAATAATGGGAAGTGTTTCTGGAGAACTAGACTCCTTTGACTTTCCTCTCTATTAAAAACGCATCATCCTATTATTAAAGAGAACCTTACCCCTGCAAACTAAACAAAATTCAGGTGAATGTATAAGAGCCTCACACGCAAGTGTGTTGCTGTTTTAATACATGAATATAAATGTTTCTTGCTTAGATTCTGTAGACTTTTTTTGCTACTTTGGTTGCGTGTGTTAGGGGCCTCCTGCTCTTCTCCCTTTCAACAAGGCTCCAATTGCAACTTGATAGAGGTTGCAACTAGTGGAGGTATAATGAGCCCATAAGCCCTCATCTCCTAGTTATAATGAGTGAAATTCTCATTGTAACTGGCACCGGTTTCAAGTTCCATTCCCCATTACCAACACGACCCAGGTGGACCTAGAAAGTGGCTACGAAAGAGTCTAGATGAAGTCATTGTAATCCCTTGTACAGTTCACCGACGTAGACAGGAAGAGATGAAACTCAGGCCCGCTCCATTCTCTGAATCATTGCAGGCAGGCTTTGTTGTCTTTCTGCTTTCCTGCTGTGTATTTTGGATCTTTGCTGTGGCACACTCCGGGTAAGCCAGATTAGGAATCACCCATGTGCCACGTAAGGATTAGCAGTCGACTACCACTAGTGTTTGAGTCACTCACTCAAGACCCCTGTGTCTGATCTCCCAGCTGATTTTGGACCTACTTTTCTTTTAATATTCTCCTCCAGTCTCTAGTCTTAAACAATTTTGATCTCTAGTATTTGCTGTCCCTGGGAGATGGTCTTGATTTTCTGTTATGCCTTAGGCAGAAATTTTATGTTCAAGCTGATTTTTAGATTCCAGTTCCCATCATTGTCCACCTGGCCAGCCTAGATCTGTCTCAGCAGCTACCACGTCAATGCCATGGATTGCCTTTCTTCTAAAATTCTCTTCTCTTTCCCATCCTCATGTTCCTCTATCTTAATGATTATTAACCTTTGCCGATCATCCAACCATATATGTCATTAAATTTCAGGTGTGTAGATGAGTATTCTTTTTGATGCTAGAGGTCAAAATAGCAAATGCCAAGGAGACAAGTATGTATGCATTTTTATATGTTAGTCACTATTGCTGATATTGAGAATAACAGCCTATTATCAAGACAGAGGGAGGAGACACTTCAGCAATTTCTCAGTGCTCAGCACATGCCCTCCAATATAATATTATCTGATCTTTAATTGTTTAAAAACCTCTCTTGATTAATTGATTTCTCATTGATGTACTGTTGGTACCAAAGAATTTATGTTTACTTGACAGAGTGTGAACTGGCATTAAATAATTTTTATGAACTCTTCTAGAGAATATGTTGTCTTTAGTTGGAAGCATTTTTTCTTTCATTCTTCTTTTTTTGATGCTCTTTTTTCAATGAGTGCTGGAAGGTAGACTTTTCTCTTCTATTTCCTTACATTTATTAAAAAAAAATTCAAATTAAGGGCTACAAAATCATCAGTGTCAGGACCACTTTAGAAATTCTGCATTATGTATTGTGATATTGTTGTAATTCTTTCTTCTTGGTTATAGAAGTAGTTCTTCCTGATTGGATCTCTACCCACATGGTCAGGAAACAATTGCTGACCACATCCATCACTTCTGTCTGGCACATCATCATGTCTCAGAGGTCCACCAATTAATCCCATGGAAGCTAAAATCCCTCATAATTACAATCCTGTTATATCGTCTCTATTTCTTGATGTGCTCGTTAATTCCTGTCCATCCTGCAGTGGTCTGTAACATAGTGCTATTATCAGCTCTGGTCTTTAAAAGTGTCTTGTCTACCATTTTGACTAAGATTGATTAACTGCTGTTTGTGGAAATCAATCATTTTGGATTAAAAAAAATCTATGCTGTTTATTTCTTCTGGTTACTTCTGCATGATTTCACTTTTTTTTCAGTTAATCAACCTGGCAGCCTGGTTGCTTTTTCCTTTTTGACTTCCTTTCTCTTGCTCTTTTCTTTCTTAAGAGCTGTCTGTCTTTATCTCTTTATTTCTCCTATCCTCTCTTAGATGACACCTCTGGGAAGAGAAGTCACTTGCAAGAGGCAGTGGAATAACTTCTCCTTTTAGAGCCTAGCCAGACGCTGCTCTCATTTCCTTTTTCATAAAATGAGAAAGATAGTCTGTCTACTTGGCTGTACTCTCTGAGCTGGTTCTGGGGTGAAAACTTATGATTGACAGCTAGGCTTTAGCAGTGGCCCTGTAACGCGCCTCTTGTTTATAGTCTGAAGCGTCTCTATAGTCTAATCTTACGAGGAGGACTCAAACTTAAACACCGGAATTCTTTCGGGTGTACTAATATTTCCTTTTCTTTTTCTAGGTACTGATTTTAACATAGATAGCTTACCCCTACCTCGGAAAGCCCATCATGACTGGGCCCTTTTTCATGAAGAGTCTCCGAAAAACAATTATAAGCTCTTTCACAAGCCAGTCATCACCTTGTTTAACTACACAGCTACGTTCAGCAGGCATTCCCATTTGCCACTAACTACCCAGTACCTGGAGGGGATAGAAGTCCTGAAATCACTCCGATACCTGGTTCCTTTGCAGTCCAAAAACAACCTCCGACAAAGACTGGCTCCGCTGGTGTATATACAGTCAGACTGTGATCCACCATCAGATAGAGACAGCTATGTTCGGGAGCTGATGACTTACATCGAGGTTGACTCCTATGGTGAGTGTTTACGAAATAAAGATCTCCCCCAGCCACTGAAAACTCCAGCTTCCATGGACACCGATGGCTTTTACAGGATCATTGCACAGTATAAGTTTATCCTTGCTTTTGAGAATGCAGTTTGTGATGACTACATCACAGAGAAGTTGTGGAGACCACTGAAGCTGGGGGTCGTCCCTGTGTATTATGGGTCTCCTAGCATCAAAGACTGGCTTCCAAGTAACAGAAGTGCTATTCTTGTGTCAGAGTTTTCTCACCCCAGAGATCTGGCAAGTTACATCAGACAACTGGATTATGATGACAGACTCTATGAGGCCTACATAGAATGGAAGCTGAATGGTGAGATCTCCAACCAGCGACTTCTCGTGGCTCTCAGGGAACGGAAGTGGGGAGTGCAAGACATCAACCAGGACAATTATATCGATGCATTCGAGTGTATGGTTTGCAGCAAGGTGTGGGATAATCTTAGGCTTCAGGAAATGGTAAGCGAGGAGGTGCTGGCTGTCTTGATGATCTCTGCATGGGTGCTTGCACTTCCTTCTGTTGCTACTGCCTCATCCCTGCTCTTCATTGCTGTTAGAGGCCAAGGGCTGTGTGAAGGTTGGCTATTTCATTACTGTCCCTTGAGGGCTGTCCTGAAGTTTACTAGTCACGTGCTTCTTCCTTAAGGCGTTGAGTTCTCCTTCGGTTATTGCTTCTTCCAGAGGACACCCATGCTGTGGGTGCTGGGCAATGACACAAGAAGGCTGGAGGAGGAGGGAAGAAGAAGAGAGAAAACAAACAAAACAACAACAACAACAAAAAAAAACAAACTTAAGAAGTTCTGAATCTCATCCACAGAGCCAGTCCTTTAACCACTCCATCAATACTGTTTTAATCACCTTTCTTCACCCCCTTGCTGAGGGAGGGATTCCTGCCATAGGATTATGGGGATGGCCAAACACACAGCACCCAGCCCTGGAGAGATGGAATGAACAGAAGTTCATTAGTCACATATACTCACAGCCCAGGGGAGGAGGGCACTGCGTACCACACAAAACCACATGAGGGTTGCATTCGGGAACAAAGTGAACAACCAGGGCTGTGGGAGGCAGGCTTTGTAGTATGAAGAGGGTGGGGTGCCCCCTGGTTCCTGTGGGAGGATGTGATTTACTTGTTTGAATAATTCTTCAGGCTGGCAGGGAACTGAAACTTGCTACTCAGGGATAAGCAGGAAGTACACCTGGCTATCTTGATCAAGAGGGTTCTTTGGCTAAGGGACCTTGTCTGCAGGAGCAGCATGGGGAGGGGAACTTTTGGTTAGGTCATTTGAAGCTCTCCTGAAGTTATCAGATGTCAAGGCAGCACATAATACCAAATCATTGTCGAGTTGATTCCAACTCACAGGGACCTTATAGGACAGAGTAGAAATGCCCCATAGGGTTTCCAAGGAGCAGCTAGTGGATTCTAACTGCCAACCTTTTGGTTAGCAGCCGAGCTCTTAACCACTGTGCCACCAGTGCTCCAGATGTCATTAATTTTAGGCCTTGTACCACAATGCCATGGCAGAGGAGTATGACATCGCTGCCAGACCCCTTACTCTTGTTCCCCACAGGCTGCTGTTTTGAAACTTATTTTTATTTCACATATACAACCAGTCAGTGTCTGTCTTGCTTTCTTTCTCCTCTTCTCTTATTCTTGCTCTTTCTCTACACACTTACTAATCTTCTGCTTACTTATTAATCCTTAAGAGTTCTTTTTCTTAAATTATTTTAGTTAAAGTTCTTAGTAATGTCTTCAAATTTCTAGATGCTCTTAATATTTGTCTGTTCATTTGCTTACTTTATTTATAAAAAGGTCTCACTTTATGTATAACTGAATTTTTAATGAGAGATTTATTAAAAGAAAATGATTAGTTTCAACTTCCCTTGAAGTTTTTTTAAAATGAAGTGGCCCATACTATCACCCACCAATCCCTTGTCTGCCTCTCGTATACACACAGTGTTCTATCTAAATTCTCGGAAGGCGAACAATTTTTGTTAAATATTTAAATGTTTGTTTTGCTAGCATATTAACTTCAGATTAAGCATAAACCTAAACAGTGTATGGAATTATTTTAATGTATTTTATGTATACTATATATGGCTTTCATATATTAAATATATCCATATTTAGTCAAATTTAAACTATTTGAAACATTTTCCTAATTTTAACAATTAAGGAATTGTAAACTCTTATCTGGTCTTGATCAGGAACAGGAACAATAAATATTACATCATTCTTTTTTTTTTAATTTTTTTTTATTGTACTTTAGATGAAGGTTTACAGAACAAATAGTTTCTCATTAAACAGTCAGTACACATATTGTTTTATGACATTGGTTAACAACCCCGCGACATGTCCACACCCTCCCTTCTCAACTTTGGAGGACCTTTTTTTTTTTTTGGTGAAAATATACATAGCCAAAGATACACCATTTCAAAAATTTCTACATGTACAATTCAGTGACATCGATTACATTCTTCCCGTTGTGCTGCTATTCTCACTATCCTTTTCCAAATTATTCCATCACCATTGTCTTCAACTCACTGCCCCCTAGGCTTCTCATCAAACCTTTTGAGTTGTTGTTGTCAGTTTGATCTCACATAGGTAATTCTTTTTTTTTTTTGTACTTTAGATGAAGGTTTACAGAACAAATAATTTCTCATTAAACAGTTAGTACACGTATGGCCCTATGACAATGGTTTACAACCCTGTGACATGTCAACACTGTCGCTTCTCAGCCTTGGGTTCCCTATCACCAGCTTTCCTGTCCCCTCTTGCCTTCTAGGCCTTGTCCCTGGACTGCTGTGCCTCATTAGCCCCGTTTTGTTTTATGGGGCTGTCCAATCTCTAGCTGAATGGTGAACCTCAGGAGTGACTTCACCACTGAGCTAAAAGGGTGTCTGGGGGCCATACTCTCGGGGTTTCTCCAGCCTCTGTCAGACCAGTAAATCTGGTCTTAGTCTGGTCTTTTATTTTTTATTGTACTTTAGATGAAGGTTTACAGAACAAATAGTTTCTCATTAAACAGTATTACATCATTTTTACCAGAAAATACATTATGATTTCTAATGACTTCCTTTATTAACTAATATATAGGGCTTCATTGTAGCAAAAAAGAAAACACAGTGAAGATTATTAGGAGACTTCTTTGCATTTCAATGAACTAGTTAAAATTCTAAAATGCTACTGTGTGCATTATTGAAAAACAACAAAACATACTGTGAAAGTAAATTAAAGGGTATTAGAGAGAAGTTGTTTTCATTTGCATTTATCTTACAAGTTTTCTTACAGCTTATATATGTTGTTGGTTTTAGGTGCCATTGAGTCGGTTCCAACTCATAGTGGACTTACGTATAACAGAATAAAATGTTGCTCAGTCCTGCGCCATCCTCACAATCATTGCTATGTTTGAGCCCATTGTTGCAGCCACTGTGCCAATCCATCTAATTGAGAGTCTTCCTCTTTTTCGCTGACCCTCTACTTTACCAAGCACGTTGTCATTCTCCAGGGACTGGTCCCTCGTGATAACATGTCCAGAGTGCACGAGACAAAGTCTTGCCATCCTTGCTTCTAAGGAGCATTTTGACTGTACTTTTTGCAAGACAGATTTGTTTGTTCTTCTGGCAACCCATGGTAGAGTCAATATCCTTCATTAACACCGTAATTCAAATGCATCAGTTCTTTTTTGGTCTTCCTTATTCATTGTCCAGATTTTGCATGCATATGAGGTGATTGAAAATACCATGGCTTGGTTAGGTGCACCTTAGTCTTCAAAGTGAAATCTTTGCTTTTTAACACTTTAATGAGGTCTTTGCAGTGGATTTTCACAATAAGTTGTTTGATTTCTTGACTGCGGCTTCCATGGGCATTGATGGTGGATCCAAGGAAAATGAAATCCTTGACAACTTCAGTCTTCCCTCTGTTTATCATGATATTGCTTATTGGTCCAGTTGTGAGGATTTTTGTTTTCTTTATGTTGAGGTGTAATCTATACTGAAGGCTGTAGTCTTTGCTCTTCATTGATAAGTGCTTCAAGCCCTCTTGACTTCCAGCAAGCAAGGTTGTGTCATCTGCATATTGCAGGTTGTTAATGAGTCTTCTTCCAATCCTGATGTTGTATTCATAGGTGCTTATATATAGCACTCCTTAAAGTAAGCTACTTATACTTTAGTTTCTTCACTTTCTCTCTTTCAGCTAGGGAAAAGCTGAAAGAAAAAATTTCATTTCCTCTAACTCCAATTATTTTTTATCTTACAATTGACGATAGTTTAAATTATTATATTTGGATTTCAAAAATACTATCAGGATGTCAAATGCATTTTCCCTCTCTCTGGTCTGCTTCTCCCCTCCTCTCTCTCTTATAAACATATAAACTAGTGTATTAGTTATCTATTGCTGTGTAACAATATTATCACAAACTTAGTGTCTTAAAACAACAGACACTGATTATCTCATAGTTTCTCTGGGACAGGAGTCTGGGCACAGCTTGGAGTCCTCTGCAAGGCTGCAATCAACATGTCATCCAGGGCTGGATTCTCATCTAGATGCTCAACTGGGGAAAACTTGCTTCCAAACTTGGCAGAATTCAGCTCCTTGTAGTTGTAGGACTGAGGGCTTCAGTTTTTTGCTGGCCTACAGTCTGGAAGCTGCTCTCAGCTCATAAAGGCATCTGCCTTACGCTGGGTTCGCTAGAGAAGCAAAACCAGTGAATAATTATTTCCTTCGCATTTTCTTCTTGACCTATGGGTTATTTATTCGTGTGTTTTTTAGTTTGTACATCTTTAGAAATTTTCCATATATCTTATTGATGTTTAATTTAATTTCATTGTAGTCTGAGAATGTACATTGTAGGGCTTGAATCATTTTAATTTTATTGAGACTCGTTCTATGTCCCAGAATATGGTTACTCTTTGTAAATGTTTCACTTGGAAAGAATGTATATTCTGCAGTTACTGAGTAGAGTTTCTATAGATGTAAGTTTGGTCAAGTTAGTTGATAGTGTTCAAGTGTTACTATATCCTTACGGATCAGGGACAAGGAAGTCAAACGTGTATCTAAGTAAATGTCAGTTTCAATAAGGACAAATTGCTCCCTCTTTTAGGGGAAAGAGGCTAATATATTCAGTGTGTCACCAAGTGGCTAGATGGTCTCCTCAAGGAATTTAATCATATCATAATTTAACCATATCAAAGGGTCAGCATTGATCGTTGCTGCTAGTAGGTGAGGTATTCAGCAGTGGTAGTTAATGAGTTCTGCCTTGATGAGTGGGAGCCAATGTTTGTGGGTCTATGTATAGCTCTATAATAGCCATGATGTTTACTCTGTTCATTGGGGTAGTAGAGGACAAAGACTGACTGACATCCAAAGACAAGCCATACTATCCACCTGCTTGTTGCAAGGCTTCTTTCAATTGATGTTTTTTGGTGGGCATTAACATGAGATGTTGATAGGACCAATG